CTACATGATGTCATAAGAGTTATTTCAGTGACTCGAACTAGAAGTCTACATGAGGGTTTTATGGTGGTGAATGCATTTTACATGAGGTGATGTACTAGTCTGCAAGCTAAGGTGAGGTGATGAGTATTACATGAGTGGTGTGAGATAGTGTGACAGCTGCAAGGAAGATTAACAAGTGACATAGCAACAGGACCAGCCTAGAAGCTACATAAGTCAAGTGTCAGAAGATAGTGTAGTTGTGTATACTTATGTACTATGCTGGTGAGAGAGTGTAGTTGTCCTGAAATGTGCATATGTATAGTGTGAGATATGTAATTGTTGATGTGTTGGTGGTGATTGAGTGTTGCCATGTTGTTGGGGTGTGTAAGTGAGTGGTGTGAGAGTCCAGAGGGTGTAACTTCCAATCCAGTTGAGTTCCAGTGACGCCTCCAGTGGTGACCAAGGGTGAAATTGAGTGTAGAATCCATTTCTTCAGCCATATTGAGTGATTTGTGAGTGTATGTAGAGGAAAAAAGAGGGATAAAAAGAATAATAGGGGGTATCAAATATAGGAAATCCACCTTTAGAAACCAGTCACTTTTTTAAAAATATTTTTTTGTATCAATGGGCCCCAAAAGGGGTTAAATGAAGAACCAACATGTTTAAAAAAGGGTGGATTTTTTCAAACCAGTCAATTAAATAATGGTGGATTTGGTTATATTTGATACCCCCTAATAAAAAACTTTGAATTTTTACACATTCAGCTACCACACCGGGCAAGATCGACCTCCAGAAGTTCCGCACTTCAGACAGGCCAATGTATTGCGGACCATTTCAGGAGACTGAATCGTTTCTACGCTGGATCCATGGGGTCCAGATTTTTTTCAAGACGCAGGACGTGACCAATGCAGCGGACAAGATCAAAATCCTTGGTAATCTCATCGCCGAAACGAACCTGCAATCTTTCTATGCCAACGAGGCGGCTGACTTTCTCACCAAGTCTTGGGAAGAATTCAAAACACGATTGTTCGACTTCACACTCCCCACAAATTGGTGATCCGGGCTGCAACGACAAATTCGCCAACTCGATATGTCGCAGGCGTAAAAATTCCTTGAGTATAGCACCCGGGCACGTACGCTGCAGAGTTTGTTCAATTTCGATGCCGGCAAATCCTCGAAACTTGGGGATCTCCAACTCACCCAATTTGTGGTTTACGGGTTGCCGGATTCTCTTCAAGATCGGATTAACAAGCACCAACTCCTCGAGGTGGCCACGTTCGAGAAACAGGCCAATGCTTCCTTCATGGCGTTACAACAACCAGCTGACCCACCTGCTCTGTCTAGATCAACTCCGAACGCACCACCAAACCTTGCCCGCAACGAGTTTGTCTGGCAAGTGCACTCGTATCTAGATTCACTGGGTTTGTGCCACTTCTGTAAGAAACATTGTGGCAGCGCGGCTGGC